AATAACATCTTGTAGGAGTGAGGAAGAGCCAGTTGTGAGTGTGGGGGAAGTTCGTGAGGCAGTAGGTAAAATGAAAGGGGGTAAGGCAGCCGGGATTGATGGGATAAAGATAGAAATGTTAAAAGCAGGTGGGGATATTGTTTTGGAGTGGTTGGTGCAATTATTTAATAAATGTATGGAGGATGGGTAAGGTACCTAGGGATTGGCAGAGAGCATGCATAGTTCCTTGTATAAAGGCAAAGGGGACAAAAGAGAGTGCAAAAATTATAGGGGGATAAGTCTGTTGAGTATACCTGGTAAAGTGTATGGTAGAGTTATTATTGAAAGAATTAAAAGTAAGACGGAGAATAGGATAGCAGATGAACAAGGAGACTTTAGGAAAGGTAGGGGGTGTGTGGACCAGGTGTTTACAGTGAAACATATAAGTGAACAGTATTTAGATAAGGCTGAAGAGGTCTTTGTGGCATTTATGGATTTGGAAAAGGCGTATGACAGGATGGATAGGGGGGCAATGTGGCAGATGTTGCAGGTGTATGGTGTAGGAGGTAGGTTACTGAAACCAGTGAAGAGTTTTTACGAGGATAGTGAGGCTCAAGTTAGAGTACATAGGAAAGAGGGAAATTATTTCCCAGTAAAAGTAGGCCTTAGACAAGGATGTGTGATGTCACCGTGGTTGTTTAATATATTTATAGATGGGGTTGTAAGAGAAGTAAATGCGAGGGTCTTGACAAGAGGCGTGGAGTTAAAAGATAAAGAATCACACATAAAGTGGGAGTTGTCACAGTTGCTCTTTGCTGATGACACTGTGCTCTTGGGAGATTCTGAAGAGAAGTTGCAGAGATTGGTGGATGAATTTGGTAGGGTGTGCAAAAGAAGAAAATTAAAAGTGAATACAGGAAAGATTAAGGTTATGAGGATAACAAAAATATTAGGTGATGAAAGATTGGATATCAGATTGGAGGGAGAGAGTATGGAGGAGGTGAATGTATTCAGATATTTGGGAGTGGACGTGTCAGCGGATGGGTCTATGAAGGATGAGGTGAATCATAGAATTGATGAGGGGAAAAGGGTGAGTGGTGCACTTAGGAGTCTGTGGAGACAAAGAACTTTGTCCTTGGAGGCAAAGAGGGGAATGTATGAGAGTATAGTTTTACCAACACTCTTATATGGGTGTGAAGCGTGGGTGATGAATGTTGCAGCGAGGAGAAGGCTGGAGGCAGTGGAGATGTCATGTCTGAGGGCAATGTGTGGTGTGAATATAATGCAGAGAATTCGTAGTTTGGAAGTTAGGAGGAGGTGCGGGATTACCAAAACTGTTGTCCAGAGGGCTGAGGAAGGGTTGTTGAGGTGGTTCGGACATGTAGAGAGAATGGAGCGAAACAGAATGACTTCAAGAGTGTATCAGTCTGTAGTGGAAGGAAGGCGGGGTAGGGGTCGGCCTAGGAAAGGTTGGAGGAGGGGGTAAAGGAGGTTTTGTGTGCGAGGGCTTGGACTTCCAGCAGGCGTGCGTGAGCGTGTTTGATAGGAGTGAATGGAGACGAATGGTTTTTAATACTTGACGTGCTGTTGGAGTGTGAGCAAAGTAACATTTATGAAGGGGTTCAGGGAAACCGGCAGGCCGGACTTGAGTCCTGGAGATGGGAAGTACAGTGCCTGCACTCTGAAGGAGGGGTGTTAATGTTGCAGTTTAAAAACTGTAGTGTAAAGCACCCTTCTGGCAAGACAGTGATGGAGTGAATGATGGTGAAAGTTTTTCTTTTTCGGGCCACCCTGCCTTGGTGGGAATCGGCCAGTGTGATAATAAATATATATATAATATATATATATATATAATATATATATATATATATATATATATATATATAATATATATAATATATATATATATATATATATATATATATATATACAGCTGTATATCTTAGTGTATATACACTGAAGAGTTAATCCCACACAGAACACGATTCATGTTGTGGTGGTATATATATCTCAGAGTATATACACAGTGAGGCAGTTTAATCCTTATTTTGGGGATGTAAAATATTCTTGACTGATGAACAGGTGACATTCAGCTTTAATGACCACCATGTTGTCGATAGACTTTAGCCCCAATTAACCAACCAACCCGTGTTATCTAAGAATATAACAGATAGATTAGCTTAGTAGTAGTGTTCGGCTCGCAACAGAAATGACATGGGTTTGATATCTGGCGGTGTCGAAAACTAGGGCCAAGTTTCCTTGTATATGCTGCCTCCATTAACTATTTAATAACAGTAATAATAATAATAAAATATTAAAACAAGAATTCACAGTTTGAGGGAGGGTATCATAGGTTAAAACATAAAAATATAAATTAGCCTATCTGCTTTTATATATCTGCGACCGGTTTCAAGAGTTTTCCTGCTCTTGCAGCCTGGCCTGGAGTGAGTCCTCTCTGTTGATTGCCTGGTCAACTTGGCCGTTGCTTTTGGCAGACCGCAGACCCATATATCCATCACAGCCTGGTTGATCTAGTATTTGGCTAAGGCGGTAATCCAGTTTTTTCTTGAAGGCTTCTACACATTTTTCCAGCAATATTTTACGTCTGCTGGTAGCAGGTTGAATAGCCGAGGCCAACGGATGTTAGTTCACACAGTGTTGCACTTTTGTCCCCATGGCACCCCTACTTTTCGCTGGGTCTTTCACTCCAATACACTGTTATGGTAGTGGGTAGATTTGGGGCTTGACACTCGAGTGTCTTCTTTGCATCCGGTATACAGTATTACCAGATTCTCTCTCCTTCGCTGTAGAGTACATTTCCAGTTCGATAAGGTGTTCCAATTAGCTCAAATGCTTTAATGTCTCTTTGCAGCAGTAAACACTGTATATTTTCCATCTGATATTTCTCCTATCTTGAATATAGGTGTGCCAAAGTATCGGTATCTGTGAGCAGCGGAGAATTTTAATAGTATCGGTTTTGGGCTAGAAGTGCGTTTCGGTGTCAGCGCGAGAGCACAAGTGACTTGAATAGTGTCACCATTGGCATTATTTATCTTTTTTCCCAAAGTTCTGATTATCCACCTTGTCATTTTCCTGTCTTTCGTAGAATTTGCCTATCATGTTCCTCAAATAGGTTAGGTGACATATTATGCCCAAGTCTTCCACATATTTCTTTTTTGCACTATGGAATGATCCTTCTGTCATGTAGTACACAGTGCCCCTTTCGAGTTCTTCATTCTTTCCGTATCATATCTGAGTAGTAGCAATTGTCACCACTGACGAGAGGTTTGTTTATATCCTCTTGCAATTTTTCCGTATTTTATACCAAGGTGACTTTCATACTTATTGTTGTATCGTCCGTAAAGAATGATACGGAGGTGTGGCTAGTGTTTTTATCTATGTCCGTTATGAGGAGAAAAGGGGAAGGCGCCAGGATCGTACCTTGGGGTCTGAATTTGCTATATGCTAAATTTGTCTAAAATTGAATATATATTTGCTTACTTTTTACTGCTAAGCACCTCATTAATTCTGGTACAACAATCCGTTTTATTTATTGTGGAAATATCATCGCACTGTTTCTCAATCAAGGAAATAAAGAATTCCTTGAAAGTAAATCAGTTTGCCCTTTATTTATAATACTTTTAATTGTATTTTCTATCAAATAACATCGGAATCTGATTTATAAGGTTAAATACTAGGACAGCTGCAATGTTTAATAACATAATTGGGGAGATAACTCGCTTAATCGAGCTTATGTAAATAGGTGCCATGCTTTGTATCACGTATGTAAATATAAGTTTAAAGGTACGAGAAGAAACACTTAAGGCATTAAATGTTTTAAGTGTTTGCTCTCGTATCTTTGCCACAGCTGGTCTGTGTCATATACCAGGTTTCCACCACTTATGTAAATAGGCATAATTTATAACATATGTAAATGGGAATCATATTTCATAACACATCTGGAAACAGATATCTTCAAAACACGCATGTAAAAGTTCATACCTCTTAATATACATGTAAATAGATTTATACCTCATAAGCAGGCTAGTTTATGTAGTTTGTTTTATTATGCACAGTAAAACACATTTAAACAGATTTCATAATTCTTGACATTATTATATTGTATATATAGATGCTATCTTCAGACACTCAAAGTGTAAAAAAAAAAAAAACACAATCTGAAATATGTTTGGCTTTTCCATTTTCATGAAATTATTGTTTGATTGTAATGAGCATTTGTCACTGTTGTAAGACAACCCACATGTTGACAATAAAAGAAATAAAAGACATGGCTGTATTTAAGACCTCCAGCTGAAAAGGACCTCAGGTAGGTAGGTCGAAACATGCCAGTCTCTTTCATGTTTTATTATAATCATGTGGGTTTCTGTCAACATATTACTGCATATTTGAAGAATGTATCACGCACGTTTATTACCACACGTTTAAAGCGTACACCTACTTTTTTACGTAATTGTAAATACAGACTAGACCAGTCCACATTTTAATGGTATATATCACATATTGAACTATATATAACACATTACTACACACAGCCTACATTTTTTATATATTGTTATATTTATGGGGAAGCACTAAACCTGTTTGGTCGTATAGTGCCTGGGAGGCATTTAGGCTCGATTCAAGGAAGGGGAGAGTTTAAGTCCAGTTCGTCAAAATAAAAGCCCCTCACTGGCATCAAAAAACCTCCTTTGAAGGGACATTTTTTATATAGTATTTATAGATATCACAAGTTCAACTACCTGATTATGAGCATACATTACTAGAGAGTTGAACCACATATAACCACATACAGCCTACATTTTGACCTAGCATATGTAAATATCACACAGACTAAAGACCTAGTGCCATCCTAAGCCATAGGAGAGACTAACCCATTATTGAAATGGCTACATATGCATCGTTTTGCATACTTTATTGCACGTGTGTCTACGTAATTGATTGCTGGTATTTTTCCTAGGTTTCATTCTCTGAGACTAACCCAAGTTTTGTGGGTATGGCAGGTTGGTGTAGTGGCATCTGTGTCATCGACAACAAGAAAGGATGGAGCATAGATTGTGGCATCAGAGATTCCTACCTCTTCAGACTCAAGGATTACGGAGGCATTAGGGCCAATTTTGACTTTGGTGAGTCCCGATGCACATTATGATTAAAACTCGGCACTTTATGAAAATTTCTGCACCATTATCTTTGATCTTGTTTGGGAACACATTACTTAACTAGTAGTAATCTTGCACTAAATGCTTGCAAACTTTTCCTTCGGACCTATTTATAATCCTGATCATACCTTCAGTAATTTATAAGGGCTGCACTTACTTCCTTATGCATTTCTTTTATCAGTTAACCTACACTAACTCCTACTGCTGTACACTACTGAACAATACTTAACTCTAACAAAATTACCGAGTATTAATTATGCATCTGTCAACAAATAATCATTATAAGCTCTATACTAAATTTATTTGATAATTTAATCACTGTTATCAAAATACTTTGCACATTGTAACCGACATAAAGCATATTTTCTATATGTATTCCAAACATTGTCTTGAAGTCGCATGACCATTGTATTTATTGGAAAGAGCTAAAACCGCAGGGGTCATTCAACGTCCAAGGGAGCGGGAAGAAATTAGGTTGAATACAAGGGAGGGGAGGGCAGTTTCACTTCCTTGCATCAAGAGCACTTCACCAGCATGAAATCTCTTCATAATTTTCTAGCATGTGTAAAAAAAAAAAAAAAAAAGTCACAGACAAGGTCTTCTTACTCAGTGTGTGAGAAAATGGGGGCGCATGCCCTCACCTTTTTGTAAACTCGGTTATGATGAGCAGTCATTATATATAGTCATTATTATTATGCAGCATTGCATGTGGAAGCATTTTTGCTATGAACTGTTTATCCTGTGTCATGAAAATTACAATATGCATGAGGAAGCGCTAAACCCGTAGGATTCAGCGCCTGTGCTGTATTACTGTGGGGAAGTACCAAACCCGTAGAGGTCATGGAGCCCCTGGGAAATGGGAGGCAGTCGAATGTAACAGTGGGAAGAGGACGGTGGCTACAATTCCTTGCGTCAAGAAAACCTTTCACCAGTGTAAAGGTACCTTCCCCAGTCCCCTTGAAGGGCTGTTTGATAAGAAACCTAGTCTATCTCTTAACTTAATATGGTCACAAAAAGACTTTAAGGTAGCCTACTTTATCTACCTATCTATCGATGGTTTCCAGAGGTCATCATTCCCGTGACCCGATCGCAGAGCAGGTGTGATCCATTAGTCTGTTGGGGCTAGCAGTAGTTGTGAGGAAATTATGTGGGTGAATTTCACAGGTACAATCCTGAATTAACATTTCACTATATAACTGGAGAGAACTCTGGTACATCTAAAACAGAGTACACTTACTGCTATAGTTGTACCTCAGACACAGGCGTGACTTGAGCAACAGTGGGTCACTACACTGTTCCTCCTCCCATGTCCACCCTCTCACCTCCCTAACTCACACATCTGGACCTTAAATTATGGGACCATATAGTTCTTGAATTTATTAAATGAAATATTTCAAGCCTGTAACACTGACTATATTAAATTTGGTTGTAGACTATATGTATGTGTATATATATATATATATATATATATATATATATATATATATATATAATATATATTATATATATTATATATATATATATATATATATATATATATTATATATATATATATATATAAAAAGGAAAAATTATTGTAAACTCGACGACAGGTTTTGCTTGTTCTATAAAATTTATACATTATATCAAGACCAAATTATGGTCTTGATATATCCTAACGCCTCCCTAGCAGACTGGTAAGCTACTATTAGCCAATAAATTGATACACTACCTGTAGTGAGATTTAATTCACACTGGAAGGCGCACATTACATATTTAGATACATGTGGTGGGCAGTGGAGGCTCTCCAGGAGCAGCTCACGTTTTTCATTCGTATCATCCTTATTTTGATAGTCTCACTTTATATCTGAACCCTTCCAGAGAAACGTTAAGTTCAGTTATTATATAGGACACTATATTTGCCGATACTATTTCTGTCGACTTAGATTAAATAAAATTAATTCCCTGCAAATTCCGGGTCTGATTTAAATTCCTCCGCCATGTTCGTTGCTCTCCTCAACGTTTTGTCCACCAATACATCTTTTCAATTAATCTAATAACACTTCCAGGTGTGTACTACATTTTCATTATTGAAATACTAATTTCATCTTAAATTACAACAGTTTTCACGTTACTTATTGAACGCCTTACAGAATATAAGGAAATAATAAAGAATATTAGTTCTCGTGTCAGAGAACATCTTTTAAGTCACTGAAGATACACACCTACACAATTTCAGACAAACATTATTATCTCCATCAATTCTTACACACAGATCCGGGAAAATTATCAAAATTTTCTACAGTAGTACAGCTTGGCCGATCAAGCACTGACTTGACGTATGTATCAAATTTCTTCTTGAAAGCAGTTAAAAACAGATGTGTAATTTCCTCTGCATTTTTCCTTGGGTGTATTTTGAACTGTTTGCTGAACCTCCAGTTCTCGCAGGAAGGAATTTCAGTGTGCAACTGATTATAATCTAGTGTGCTGAGTCATTGTTTACACTAGTGTAGTATGCTGAGCCAGTTGTTTACATTACTGGAGTACGTGAGTCATTGATTACACTAGTGTAGTATGCTGAGCCAGTTGTTTACATTACTGGAGTACGTTGAGACATTGATTACACTAGTAGTATGCTGAGACATTGTTTACACTAGTGTAGTATGCCGAGTCAATCATTTACGTTACTTGGGTATACCGAGTCATTAATTACACTAGTATAACATGCTGAGACAGTTTACACTAGTGTGTTGAGTCTTTTTTGCGCTAGTATAGAATGTTGAATCGTTATATAGTATATAAATAGTCGAAGTAAAGAAAATCATAATTTACTCCTGGAGAGTATACCTGGAGTGGGCTTCGGGGGTCAACGCCCCCGCGGCCCGGTCTGTGACCAGGCCTCATGGTGGATCAGGGCCTGATCCACCAGGCTGTTACTGTTGGCCGCACGCAATCCAACGTACGAACCACAGCCCGGCTGGTCAGGTACCGACTTTAGGTGCTTGTCCAGTGCCTGCTTGAAGACAGCCAGGGGTCTATTAGTAATCCCCCTTATGTATGCTGGGAGGCAGTTGAACAGTCTCGGGTCCCTGACACTTATTGTATTGTCTCTTAACGTGCTAGTGACACCCCTGCTTTTCATTGGGGGGATGTTGCATCGTCTGCCGAGCCTTTTGCTTTCATGGGGAGTGATTTTCGTGTTCAAGTTTGGTATTAATTCCTCTAGGATTTTCCAAGTGTATATAATCATGTATCTCTCCTGTGTTCTAGGGAGTACAGTTGAGGAACTTCAATCATTCCCAGTAATTGTGGTGTTTCATCGCAGTTTTGTGTGCCGTGAAGGTTCTCTGTACATTTTCTAGGTCAGCAATTTCACCTGCCTTGAAAGGTGCTGCTAGTGTGCAGCAATATTCCAGCTAGGTAGAACAAGTGACCTGAAGAGTGTCATCATGGGTTTGGCATCCCTACTTTTGAAGGTTCTCATTATCCATCCTGTCATTTTTCTAGCAGTTACGATTGATACAATGTTGTGGTCTTTGAAGGTGAGATCCTCTGACATTATCACTCCCAGGTCTTTGACATTAGTTTTTTGTTCTATTGTATGGTTGGAATTTGTTTTATACTCCGATATAGTTTTAATTTCCTCACGTTTTCCATATCGGAGTAATTGAAATTTCTCATTATTGAACTTCATATTGTTTTCTGCGGCCCATTTAAATATTTGGTTGATGCCCGCCTGGAGTCTTGCAGTGTCTTCAGTAGAGGACACTGTCATACAAATTCGGGTGTCATCTGCAAAGGAAGACACGGTGCTGTGGCTTACATCTCTATGTCAGATACGAGGATGAGGAACAAGATGGGAGCGAGTACTGTGCCTTGTGGAATAGAGCTTTTCACTGTAGCCGCCTCAGACTTGACTCTGTTTACTACTACTCTTTGTGTTCTATTTGTCAGGAAATTATAGATCCATCTACCAACTTTTCTTGTTATTCCTTTAACACATATTTTTCTGCTCTATTACACCATGGTCAAATTTGAAGGAATTGGTCCGAAATCTGCACACCGAAATCACCCTTGTGAAAGTAAGACTTGTCTGAGGGTGCAAGAATACCACTATAGTCACTATAATGAATAACAGGGGTGCCATTAACTCAGTACGCGTAAAGGTACCAAAGTTTTTCAACACCTTCCCCTCACGTATAAGAGGAATTAACATATACCAAACTGTCCTCAAGAAGGAACCTGATCTGGTCGGTTCCTGAAAGTCAGTTTGTCATTAGCAGGGTTGTTAAGTTTAATATCTTTAGTAGTCAGCACCCCATACCCATCCTGTGGGCGGTAGTCAGCACCCCATACCCATCCTGTGGGCGGTAGTCAGCACCCCATATCCATCCTGTGGGCGGTAGTCGGCACCCCATACCCATCCTGTAGGTGGTAGTTAGCACCCCATACTTATCCTGTGGGCGGTAGTCAGCACCCCATACCCATCCTGTGGGTAGTAGTCAAAAGATTACAGAGGTACATAATAGGCCCAGGGACTGGACCCCCAAATTATGATAGCTGAACAAGTTACAAGGGTAATGAACTCCAGGCCAGAATTATCTACAGTTAAATGTAAATATCGGGGTATACTTTTGCACTCATTTTCTTAAGTATACTGTATATAATCACAAAATGGTTATAACTATGACCATATTTTTTAAAAGGTGAACCCGGTAAGCCAGTGGAGGGCCTCGGTCAGATGACCAATAGCTCCTGTTTCCTGACGAACCTTACTTAAGTATGGCTGTAAGCGTTTGCGTATTTATTATTTTTATTATTACTTACATGGGGAGCGCTAAACCTGTAAGGGTCATACGGCGCTTTACTCTGTGACCCTTATGAAGCGGAACTTTTTTTTTCTTAATTAGGGTAGCGGTGGGTTAAAGGTCAGGATTTAGAAGCCACTAAATGTAGTGATGTCAGTCATTGACCTGAACTTTGGAAAAAGTGGGAGGAAATACTTCTCGTTTCTAACTTGTATATATTAACGAGTAGGGATGTTCTGAGTTTTTTTATTATTATTATTATTATTATTCTTTCGCCCATTTATATTTAAGAAATATAGAGTTGTTTGTTCGTGTTTTTTTTTTAATTTAGGCATTAATTTTCAAAATATCTTCGTGCTGCTGCCACCACAATAACCTAGTGTTGTTAACAGTACATTAGTACAGTACCTTCCACCACTGCCACAGGATATGTAACTGGTTACCGAGCGATTGGTTGCTTAGTAATAACAATAATAATCTTTATTTCTACAAGTACATGTACAAGGTATACAGTCCTAGCTGACATCAATGATATACTACTATATACAAAGCCGCTTGTTATGCAGAGCATTTCGAGCGAATTGGGTCAGTTTTGTCCCAGGATGCGACCCACACCAGCCGACTAACACCCAGGTACCTATTTTACTGCTAGGTGAACAAGGACAGCAGGTGTCTTAAGTAAACATGTCGTAATGGGGTTTAAAGCCTATCGACTACACGAGGGTCATCAAGGCTGTTCTCCAGTCAAGAATACTTGAATCTTAAGAGTAGAGATTAAGCTCTCAACGTATATACACTGAGAGACATACACCTCACTGTTACGCTATTGAGAGGTGTATGTCTCAGGGTACACTGAATTTACATTTAGCAATGGTTTCAAGTTGGAAAAATTCAGATTCAGGAAGGATATAGGAAAGAACTGGTTTGGTAATAGAGTTGTTGGTGAGTGGAACAAACTCCAGAGTACCGTCGTAGAAGTTAAAACGTTTTGTAGTTTTAAAAATAGGTTAGATAAATACATGAGTGGGTGTGAGTAGGTCTGATGCCGTGCTCCTTCCTTAAGTGAATGGGACCTGACCTGACTAGGTTGGGTCAGTGGCATAAGCCAGCAGGCGACTTGGACCTGCCTCGCATGTGCCAGTAGGCCTGCTGCAGTGTTCCTTCTTTTTTTATGTTCTTAAAGGGAGTTTCAGGGGTCAACGCCCCACTGCCCAGTCCGTGACAAGACCTCACAGTGGATTAAGGCCTGATCAACCAGGCTGTTACTGCTGGCCGCACGCAATCAACAGCCCAGCTGGTCGGGAACTGACTTTAGCTGTCTGTCCAGCTCCCTCTTGAAGACAGCCAGGGGTCTATTGGTAATCCCCTCCATGTACGCTGGGAGGCAGTCGAACTTATTCTAGGGATTAAACCCTTAAACGGTCCAAACGTATATATACGTTTTTTTCAACATCTGAAAGTATGTAAAAAAATGTAGATCTTCTTTTTGGTTTTACATTTGAAAACGTGTAAAAAAACTTTTATCTACATTTTTTTTTGTTATATTTTAAAATATGTAAAAAAAGTAGATCTACTTTTGGAGCACTACGAATTTGAACGTCGATCTATTTCGACCGTTTAAGGGTTAAAATATTTGTGGTTAATTATATTCAATTAACGTAAAAGAGTTTCTAATGATTCCCAGTTATTATTATAATCAAAACCAAGTGCTAAACCCACTAGGGTCATACAGCGAATGATTCCCAAGTAGTCGAACGAAATAGAGAAAACAAGTTTCCTAATACCTGCTGCGCCTGTTCACCTAGCAGTACCTGGGAGTTAGTAGACTGCTGTGAGTTGCATCCTTGAGAACTACCTGACCACATCATTGCTTGGTTTACTTGGGTTATTCTGGGTTAATAACCCTCAGGGGCCACTACTCCAAATAGTTTTCCTTAACCCTTGCTAGAACACCTGTAACCATCTACAGCAATAATTACGTACATAATTTCTAAAACATTTATAACCACCTACAACAATTATACTTCTGCTAGAGCACCTACAACTATCTAGAATAACAACAATTACAAATACTGCTAAAACATCTACAATCACTGATAGAACACTTGCAACCATCTACAACAACAATAGTTACAATTACTGCTAGAACACTTACAATCACACCCATTGCAACCATTTTGAACCATTGTCAGCACACTTGCAACAATTACAACCACTGCTAACACCTGCAACAACAATTACAACCATTGCTAGAACTCCTACAGCTAATTACTTCCATGTGGAAAAAGAAACTTATGTACAGTTCAGGACATTTATTAGAGGAAATGTTTTGCCAGGAGTGGCCTCTTCAATCTATTAGAACTGAAGAAGCCACACATGGCAAAATGTTTCCTTTAATAAATATTCTGAACTGTACATAAGTGTCTTTTTCTACATCTTGTCAGTATCACTATACCATTTTTTCATCTATTTCCATAATTGAAACCACTGCTGAAACACTTAAATTACAGCCATTTATAAAAGCACACAACCACCAGCAACATCAGCTCTAACCACGAGTTGCAACCAGTCAGTACTCCTATAACCAGTGTTATGTCCAGTGGCAACACCTGCATCCACTGCCCACTACCTTGATGACCACCACAGGACTAACAGGAAATGTCTGTACCAACAGGTCTTGGCTTTGGAGATGAGAAAGGCTTCCCTCAGTCCATCAGCAATACTGCCGGTGGATACCACCGCAAGAATGTAAGTAGAGAGGGGGAAGAGGCATATGTGATATTCACTCATAGATTCTTAAGTTTTGACAACATTTGTTGTGTGTGTGTGTGAGAGAGAAAGAGGTGTTGAAAGCCCCTACCTTGTAAAAATAAATGCAGGAACGGAGACACCTCTGTAGAATCCTAAAGCTAAAGAGAAAGTGAGAGTTTATAAAATAATGCTTTTAGAAAAATTTATCCAGAATCTAATACCCTTAAGAGCAGATATTATGAAATACTTACATAGGAACTTTCATTCTAAATCCTATTATTCTTTTAAATGTTAAAAAAAAAGTTTACCATCATGTCTCTTTCCTATTCACCAGGATGATAATGATGAACTTCAAGTAGCTGATAAGAGAGCAGACCAGGACCCCTCCCATGCACTACATGGACGTAGAGTCAGGTATGTGCATTCTTCCTATCAGTACCTGGAGAGGGTTTTGGGGATCAACACCCCTGCAGCCCAGTCTGAGACCAGGCCTCATGGTGGATCAGGGTCTGTTCAACAAGGTTGTTACTGCTGACCGCACGCAAGCTGACGTATGAACCACAGCCCGGTTGGTCAAGTACTGACTTTAGGTGCTTGTCCAGTGCCTTCTTGAAGACAGCCAGGGGTCTATTGGTAATCCCCCTTATGTATGCTGGGAGGCAATTGAACAGTCTTGGGCCCCAGACACTTATTGTGTTGTCTCTCAGTGTACTCGTGGCGCCCCTGCTTTTCATCGGGGAATGTTGCATCTCCTGCTGAGTCTTTTGCTTTCATAGGGAGTGATTTTCGTGTGTAGGTTTGGTACCAATCTCTCCAGGACCTTCTAAGTGTATATTTTCATGTATCTCTCTCGCCTGCATTCAAGGGAATACAGATCAAGGACCTTCAACCGTTCCCAGTAGTTTAGGTGCCTTATCGTACTTGTGTGTGCCATGAAAGTTCTTTGTATACTCTCCAGGTCTGCAATGTTGCCAGCCTTGAAGGGGGCTGTTATTGTCCAGTAGTATTCAAGCCTAGAGAGCAAAAGCGATTTGAAGAGAATCATGGGCTTGGCATCCCTAGTTTTGAAGGTTCTCATTATCCATCCTATCATTTTCTTAGCGGATGAGGTAGATACATTGTTGTGGTCTTTTGAAGGCGAGATCCTCTGACATTATCACTCCCAGATCCTTCACATTACTTTTCCGCTCTATTGCATGGTTAGAATTTGTCGTATACCCTGACACATTTTTAATTTCTTCAAGTTTCCCATATCTGAGTAGTTGAAATTTCTCCTCGTTGAACTTCATATTGTTTTGAGTGGCCCATTCGAAGATTTGGTTGATGTCCACTTGGAGTCTCACGGTGTCTTTGATGAAGGTCACTGCCATGGTAATCCGGGTGTCATCTGCAAAGGAAGATACGGAGCTATGGCTAACATCTCTATGTCAGAAATGAGGATGAGGAATAGAATGGGAGCGAGTACTGTGCCTTGTGGAACAGAGCTTTTTACCATGGCTGCCTGGGACTTTACTCTGTTTACTATTACTCTTTGTGTTCTGCTTGTCAGGAAGTTGTAGATCTATCTACCAACTTTTCCCATTATTCCTTTATCACACATTTTGTGTGCTATTACACCTTGGTCACACTTGTCGAAAGCTTTTGCAAAGTCTGTGTATACTACATCTGTATATATAATGCAGGGATCAAGCATCAGATTGCATAGTCACTAGTTACCATGTACATTGTGTTCTATGTAGGATCTGAAGCCCTATGTATGTATTTTATTAGTATTATTATTATTATTAGTAGTAGTAGTATATTCATGAGGTAGCACTAAACAGTGCTGTGACCAGGAAAAGTGGTGCTCCCTCCACGTGCTAATTAACTTAGTGGGTGAGGATGTGTATGGAGTTGCAACTTATTTGGAAAAATATATAAAATGTTAATTATTATTATTATTGCTGCTGCTACAAATAATAATAATTATAATAATAATACAATAATAATAATGGGAAGCTGTAAACCCAAGGGGTCATACAGCACCTGTATCAAGTATAGAAAAAAGGTAAAATATAGAATGCCTAACAGTCTTAGAAATGGGAATCAGCATCATCCTCACACATGAGGAGTTATGTCCATGAAATTTTTGAGCCAGTGTTGGATACAACAAAGTAAATTATCATTCTGTGATCTGTCTGATTATTGTATGCTTTATGATGCAGTGATTGGAAAATAAAGACTCTTAAGCATAAAACTGACTTGACTGAAGCTATGGAGCTGAAAACTTAACCAATGCTAAGGGCCTGATTACCTCAAACTTACTTCATCCTTGAGACTGAGGGACTGATTAATTCACATTTACTTCTTCCTTGAGGCTGATGGACTGATTAAATCAAGCTTATTTCTTCCTCAAGGCTTTGGGACTAATTACTTCATACCTACCTCTCCATTACTCCTGCTGTCTCCAGTATTTATGTCACCCATGTATTTTAACTGAAGAAGCCTATGGAGCAGGCAAAACAGATTGACAGAAAGGATACCTGACTGTTGCATATGTTTATTTTTCATTTACTTGTCATTATTGTATATCATTATTATGATGATATTGACTTGGTATATTTCATTTTCTACAGACCTGGTCCAGCCTTTAAACTGCAGCCTCCTCCATTACCAGCCAGCCGTCGACACAGTCCTGTGGGAATATTTGGTCGTCAGTCTCCCCCACAAAACCCTCCAGGATTTAGGCAGAATGGCCGACAAAAATTCATTGGGCAAAGATTTCAGAGGGTCCCTGTACAAAATCCTTTGCATGGGAATTTCCAACCTCAACGCCAATTTTTTGTCAATAGCCAGCCTCATTTTCAAAATCAGCATCAGCATTTCTTTCCTAGTCAACATGGAAGTCACACAGCCTTCTTCAATGATGATACCCCACCACTGCCACACACTCCTCCTCCTACACACAGTCCTACAGTTGGCCCCATCTTGGGAGAAGTACTGAAGGTATGTCATGAATCTTAACCTGTATCTCCTTAAAACAACAAAATTAGCCTAATGTAATCCACACATAAGAGAGAGGAGCTTATGACAACCTTTCAGCATGACTTAGTAAATGGCCCAAGTTGGACCAAAATATTGTCATAAGCATCCGTCTCCTTTGTGCAGGTCATTTGTGTATTGTTCTCATCACGGTATTGTGCCTTTTTGTTCTTTAATAGCCTCATGTGTTCTTAAATTATGTTAATGGGCTATGAAGAGTTCTTCATATTTCATCATGCAGGCTTTTCTTTCTGTCTCATAAACATGCTAGATGACAGGTACATCATGCTACCTCTATTTACACTTAGATCACACCATATATGCATGGGTACACATATGTATACACACCTGTTTGAGTTTTCCTCTATTTTCTTTATAGCTCTTGCTCTTATTGATATCCTTTCATATCCACGGGGAAGTGGAAAAAGAATCCTTTCTACATAAGTCATGCATGTTGTAAAAGGCGACTAAAATGTCGGGAGCAAGGGGCTAGTAACTCCTCCTTCTGTATAAATTACTACATATAAGAAGAAAAACTTTTCTCAGTATATGAATTTCTAAGGTTGCACTCACATATTCATTTTAGAGCTTTAACACACTTTTCCTAGAATTTTAACACAAATCTGCATTAGGTACATCCTGAAGTAATCAGTCCCTCAGTCTCAAGGAAGAAGTAATGCCTTGGCATGATAGTGGGTTTCTTTGTACCAATCAGATTATGAAATGTAAACACACATTGTAACCTTTGCAAAGAAATAATTTTTTTATTTGGTTTGATTTGATTTTGGTAAGTTCCAATAAATATTCTCTAAGTTTTTAGCTGAAGTTTATAAAAGTTACTATAGTTTCAATATATGAGAAAATTCCAGTCCTGTTGGAAGTCATATCCTGGACAAAAATACAGTGGACCCCCGCATAACGATCACCTCCGAATGTGACCAATTATGTAAGTGTATTTATGTAAGTGCGTTTGTACGTGTATGTTTGGGGGTCTGAAATGGACTAATCTACTTCACAATATTCCTTATGGGAACAAATTCGGTCAGTACTGGCACCTGAACATACTTCTGGAGTGAAAAAATATCGTTAACCAGGGGTCCACTGTACTAATACCACTAATATGTAAGAATACCACAGACTACAATGAGCCCTGGTCATGGACCAGGCTGTGAGGGCGATGATCCCTGGAACACCCTCCTGGTAAACTCCAGGTATACATATTGGAACTACTCAAGAGTTGGTTTGGGTAAAACGTAATTAACGGTGGGCAGTATCTACTGTAATTATATTAACAGATTAAAAAAGTTGTACGTGCCACACTACTTGAACACTCTGGGTAATCCTGGGTTAATAACCCTAAACATGTCTTCCTTTTCTTCTTCATTTGGGTAAAGTTGTCCCTTCCTTTCAACAGTTGGACTCCAACACACCAGCAGATACAGATCACGTTCCATCCTTTGCTGCCAAGATGTTTATTGTACGCGAGGCTCCTGAAGAATTTCATCCACCAGGCTACTCACTTGGGGCCTTCCACAAGGTCAATGCACATGTTGAACTCCCGAGGACTAAGTTCTTCTGTGAGGAACGAAAATATTTGCCTGGTATCTATGCTGACACACAGCTGGGATGCAAAGTAAGAAACCTTTTTGTCAAAACACTGTGTTACACATTTTTCAGTTATGGTACTAAAATACTTTTTGCAAACTCAGATTTTTTCATTACTTTTTCCATTAGCATGGGTTTGAGTTTTATATAAAATTACAAAATTTGTGGTTTAGCATATAATTGCAAGTAATCTGATACTTAGCATTTCATATATTTTACCCATGTTAGCTGAAAATACTCATTCAGACTATTCATAGGTTCTGTTTATGAATATATGCATACATTATTACATTTATATTTTCATAATTTGTGTATATATTTTTAGTTTACTATTAGTGTATATCTAATGTTATCATAGTGTTAAAAACTGTATATTCAGTTCTTTTTCTTCTCCAGGTGTTCCACTTGTGTCTTCCTGCAGCCATGGGCAACACTATGACCAGCTTCCTCTGCCCAAACATGACCCTATTTGACCAGTCCATCTTGCAGTGCAACTGGTGGTACTATGTCAACTGTGAAAATTCTCCCCTGAGTTACGATGCCAACCTCCCCATGGCTCTCAGCTATCGCAAAATCAATGCCGCTCAGCTGACCCTATCTGGTGTAAATGACTACAACAACGTTGCTCTCCTGTCACAAAATGCAGAGGAACTGAAGAAGCTGCAGGCAGACCAGTCTGACACCATCACAAATTTTGCCCTGAAAAGGATGGGCTTGCTTGAGCAGCCTGAAAACTTACTTCATAATGGAGGTGCTGGTCAGACAGATGGTATTCGTCGACAGCCAAGGACGATGGTACATGCTGAGAACACAACCCTAGGAGAGGAGAAACAGAATGTCTCAAAGAAAAATATGGATGAAAATAATCTTCATAAAAAAGATGAAGAGAAAGTTCAAGAAAAAGTAAACTGTGAAGAGGACACTGCCCAAGTGGAAGATAAAGTCAAAGATAAAATAAAGTATGACGAGGTAATTGATCAGCAAGAAGATAAAATTAGTAAGACAGAACAGAATAAAAACAGTAATGCCCATATTGAAGATAAAATAACGAAGAAAATACAAGCTGTGGAGAACAGTGACCAAAAAGAAGGTACAAATAAAGCAAGAAAAAATAGAAGTCTTGTTGAAAGCAGCCACAGCAGAAACTTAGGAGCTAATGAAGGTTCACATATTTCTCCTCTTTTATTGAGGGTGTACAAGAGAGTTGCCTACCTGGACTAGTTCTCAAAAGCACTTACATAATGTATGTCATCAAACAGTCCCTCACTTAATTGTATACTCCCTTTAGAAAAAGTCTTTTTAATGCTTGTGAAGTTTTTATAGTACTGTATATACAGTTATCTTCTGTGTTGCCAGCCACTCAAGTAATGCCATGTTACACTAAAATCAAACAGTATTGATGTGTTAACATGCCATAAGAGAAACTGTATCTACATTCTTGAGAGCATTTACTTCACAACTAAAGGGAACTGGGTTTGGTTGCCTGGCTGGACAAGACATATTGGCAAGTCTTCTTATGCCCATTGCCTATGCTTGCCTAGAAGTAAATGCAGTAGATACCTGTGTGTTAGTCATCGTATGTAGGTCACATCCTAGGAGAGAACCCAAAAGGAAATATGCCATAATATTTAGCTCTGTTGGTTATCCTGGGTTAAATAACTATAAAAACGCCCTCAGGATCTGGGTCTGGCATAGCATAAATACATCAATATTGATGCTTTTTCTTTTCTCTTACAATGTTTTTTTCTACCTCATTCTTATTCCACCTATTCTCCTTACCCTAAAAAAAAATCAGTGCCATTTGAAGGAGAGTAAAATGTTTTTTCTTGCTTATAAAGCATGAATTGCTCAATAATTCTACCTGCTTCTATATATATATGAGATCAGTGGTTCATGGACCACTTCATCCCACAGCTTTTGTAAATAGTTCATCTATCTTTTAGTCTGACTTAGTGGCTGGCAAAGGTAATGTAAAAACAGGATATAATGACTCCCGAAATCATAATAACACGATTGCCAACAAACCATGGAATGGGTGGAATTTGAGCCCATGGTGAGTGAGTTGTAAAACTCCAGGCCAGTGTGTAAGCCACTGGCCTGGAGTTTTACAGTTCACTTGCCATGGGTTGCAACCCCACCTGTACTTTTTTTTTTTTTTAACAGGATGTAATTTTGACTTGTTGCCATGCATGTGCTGAGTATGCACAGTACTAATATGAATGTTCTAGGTACCCATCAAAGCTACCACCATGGTAGTTAACCAGTGTGTACTGTAATTAACTAGTGTATACTGTAGTTAACTAGCGTGTACCGTAGTTAACCAGTGTATACTCTTAACTGTTCTTGCCATCAACCCCCAAAATAATTTTATGTAATCTTAATTTCTCTTACCAAATATATGTACAGCAGATGTTGATCAATGCGTTTCCAGTGTATGCATTATTTTAAGCTTCGAATAGTAGGCAGCTGTAGTCTTAGGTTTGTAAAGGATATAGGACAGGTATACTGTATTATTTCCCAAGAAATTAACAATGTAACAATTTATTTTAAATCTATCTTGTCTTTCATTATGTTTACATATCAGTGAACTATTTTTTGTTTTTCTTTGCCTATATTTTCCTCTTCAATACATAATGTTTCTTCAGACTTGCTAGTGACATTTTTTTTTTTTTTTTTTAATTTATACACTGATGCACATATCACAACTTTAGTTTTTATTTATGCATTCAACTTTGATTATTTATAAGTTTTCTATTAATATTAATGCAATAGTAAAATGACTTTCAACAAAGAAACCTTTTGTTAATAGAGTATTTTGCTCAGTGGGTGAATTTTGTTTTACTTTTTTAGAACATCAGCTGTCTCCCACAAGGTAGAGTGACCCAAAAAAAACAAAAATGAGGAAAAACATTCTCCATCATTCATTCAATCGTTGTATTGCCGGAAGTGTCATGACAGTAGTTCAGATGTCCCTCCAAACAATAATATCCTCACACCCCCTTCAGAGTGCAGGCACTGTACTTTCCACCTCAAGGACTCGAGTCCAGCTAACCAGTTTCAATACACAGGTGAAATGTATTACTAAAAGGTTTTCACTGAAAGTGTCTTACTACCAAACATCTGTCATCTCATCGCTATGTATTTACAACATTAACAAAGGGTAGGATGTTCATAGTTTAACATCTTAGTAATTCTTTCTTTCTTTCAACACACCAGCCGTATCCCACCGAGGCGGGGTGGCCCAAAAGGAAAAACAAAAGTTTCTCCTTTCACATTTAGTAATATATACAGGAGAAGGGGTTACTAGCCCCTTGCTCCTGGCATTTTAGTCGCCTCTTACAACACGCATAGCTTACGGAGGAAGAATTCTGTTCCACTTCCCCATGGAGATAAGAGGAAATAAACAAGAACAAGAGCTAGTAAGAAAATAGAAGAAAACCCAGAGGGGTGTGTATACATATGCTTGTACATGTATGTGTAGTGTGACCTAAGTGTAAGCAGAAGTAGCAAGACGTACCTGAAACCTTGCATGTTTATGAGACAGAAAAAACACCAGCAATCCTACCATCGTGTAAAACAATTACAGGCTTACGTTTTACACTCACTTGGCAGGACGGTAGTACCTCCCTGGGCGGTTGCTGTTTACCAACCTACTACCTAGGTCATCTTAGTAATATACTGTACAAAATTAATTTTGATCATTGTATTGATCATTTAATTTTCTAATTTGTGATAGAATGATATTTTCTTATCTTAAAAACATTAAAATCATTTAAACAACCTAGGCTAAGTTATCCTGCCCTTCTCCCCTTTATATATTTTCTTGTTAATGAGTGATTATTTTCCAGTTGTTGATATACAAGACCACGAAGATTTCCCCAGGTTTAGCACATCCCCCTAAATATAATAATAATAGTGATACTAAGAATGCACGATAGTCAGTAATGTAAGTGCTTGCTCAATATCCTTTAGATAACCGAGTGCAGTAAGGCCCCGACTTAGATAATTTTGACTTACTGACTGACTGACTGAGAGAGAGAGCCAGAGAGGATGGGGAGAGCTAGCTAGCTCTCACATTTGCTGAGAAGTATAAAGAACTATAGATTTAAAAAATACTATTTTCTTCAAGGTTGAATTAAACCATGGATACTTTGTTTTTTTTTGGTAATGATTGGTTCTGAAAAAGATTAAATAATTATGTTTGGTTAGGCTGTGGAAAGTTGGTGCTCTTGCTTACCAGACATGTTCAGTAGAGGTGTGGGACCTCATACCACACCTTCCCTCACACAACTATACTCATCACTACCTTCCCTACCCCCAACCCTCTTCTTCCCCTTCCTTCATACTCCCCTCCCTTCTCTATGCCCCTGCCGCTTTCCTCTTCACCCTCTCCTATTCTCCACCCCTCTATTGGAGATAGCTCAACTGCTATGCACCAGTACCCTTCTGTACTGTGGTATGTACTGTAGCTCCATTCTGTTTAACAAACGTGTATACATTATATAAATAAATGTTTAATACCATTGTAAGTGAAAAGCAGCATTACTGAATGTAAAATATAGGGTGAAAATTCCTGTTTAAAAAATACATGTAAACGAATTTAACCCCTTGACTGTCGCAACCCCAAATCTTTTCCCGACTGTAATGACACCAAAAGAATGAAATTTGATGGAAAACTGACGAAATTACACTCTCGTGAAGTTAGGAACTTTGGCAATATTTACAAATCGGCGTTTTCGCCCACTTTGAGCCCTATTTTCGGCTAATTCCATTGTTCCAGTCGACCAAACTCATAGCTATTTCTTTAGAACTCCATTTTTTTCTATCGACTGAGTACAAGAAACTGCCCATTTACCGATTTCAACTACCCAATAACGTGGTCAGAAATTTGCAATTTGGCCAGTTTCACGAAAATTACAAAATATGACAATTCAAAATAGGGTCCAGAATGAACAATGCAGACATTCCTGGCTCTAAAATAATATTTTCTTTGTTCATCAGTCACATCTCCAGGCCCCTCTGATATTACTCTTGCTTTCTATTTTGAATTTTTATTCAAACAAAAAATAAAAGATTTACTGTTATGCAGACTACAGTAATATTGTAATAATTGTATAAATAATATCAACCCATTCATGACTGCATATTAGAATGGCTGCTTGGAAATTTATTGGAAAATGACATCATTTGTTTACTTTTGAACATCAGTAAAAATCAAACATTTCCCCTACTTTGAGCTCCATTTTAAGGGTTTTCATAGTAACACCAATCAAAATCACCTCTATTTCTATAATATGTTTTCCATTCTATCAAAGGAGACCAAGAAAACGAGAATACAAACATAAATACTATACGAAAATAGACCACAAATTTGGCATTTTAATTAAAAAAAAAAACGGTCGGAGTTTTTTTTTTTCCTCATTATGCACCGCGTGCTGCAGGATTTTTATTATATGGTGCACACACCACACAGACCCATTCTCTCACATGTGGGCCTACCAGCTTTCTCCTGCTTGATTTGAAGCCGCTAGAATTTATGAGTATATATACGTCAAAAACGGTGGCTCGTGAGAAGTATATATACGACCGAAACAGTCAAAGGGTTAAATTTGTAATATTATGTCTCAGGAGCACATCAACGATTATAACATGGGTATCTGTGAAAAATAAGTTCCAAGAAGTGAATTTTAGGAACTCGTGTATATAAAAAAGTTGGGGCCCTACTTTACTCCATTAAAGAGACTAACCAAGCACACTGATAAGTGTATTCTAATCAAATAAGTTTAATACAGTATCCATTCTTTATAGGCAGGCTACAATTGATTCATGTTTTTTAGATATAAAGTTATACTGGCTTTTGTTTTCATATAGGTAGTACTGTAGCCTACTACATTACAAGTGACACATCTATGAAATATTTCTACATTGCTCCACAAATGTAGTGGCAGAATGTAACAGTTACTCTAGATTTTTTTCTTTTAGACACTGGCAGTCTCTCGCCGAGGTAAGGTGACCCAACGCAGAAGTCAACATTTTCACTGTCACTTGTTCATTCACTGTCTTGCTAGAAGGATACCAGTATCACAGTTCAGATGACACTCTAAACATTCCTATTGTTTAACAGTGACATTAATGATATGCAATATAATTTGAATAGATCCTGTTGATTTGCATGCAGTAACCAAACAGAGGCCAATATAAAATCATTGTGAATTATGGTCATGAATGTTATTCTATGACCACATGTAGTCCAATGATATGGTTTGTCTGTATGTACAAAATGTATTAGAAGCAGTAGTTTGTAGTTTTTCATCCTTTTTTTTTTATAGGGAACATTATTTTGAAGCTAATAAGGGTATGTATACATAAATGATGAAAGTGTTTCTTTTTTGAGTCACCCTGCCTAGGTGGGAGACGGCCGACATGTTTAAAAAAAAAATAGTTTTCTACTTTATACTAAGGCATTGTAAAATTTACATATACTTTTGTAGCCTGCTTTTAAAACCTGGATCTTAAGAAAGCTGAAGGCCTATGGTCAGAATCTGCATAATCAAAATTCTAGTAATTATTAATAAGTGAGTCCATGATTCATTTATAAAACGGATGCTTATGTTTGGTCTTTGCACCAAACATTTTGAGCTTAGATAACAAAACAAGTGTGTGGTGTGTGTGTATGTGTGTGTATTATTTCCACAGGTAAACTGACCTTCTCAAATGGAAACTGCCTCAAATTCAAATAGTGAAGCTTCCAAACTCATCTTGTGACCCATGGATGGTAAACTGCATGGGTGGTTGTTGAGGTGGCGCTGGCGCCTAATTTCCAATTGAGTAATTCTGAAGCATATGAGATAATTCGACTAGGGCTTCCCGCTCTCGGCTGTAACTGCCTCGGGAAGCAACTTGACTCAGGTAGTTGACAGGCTCTTGATGGTCGGCTCTGGTAGCTGCCATTGCTGGTAAGGGCATGTAATTTTTATAATTATAACTCCCTTTAATGAATGGTTTGGAATGTTTAGACTTGTACATATATATTTAGTTAATTTATTGTGTAATATGCATATTTTTAATAAAGCCAAATATGTATATCATTGTTTAATTGCCTCTTTTGGCTGTTTTGGCCAAAATAAAACTTGATTTACTACAGTCCTGCTTTGTAACATTTTTCCAAGCCTTGATGCATGCAGAACAAAGTTCCATATGTTAGCTCCTAGTTACTTGCTACAGTATGGTGTATATATCTGGAGAGTATATCTGGAGAGAGTTCCGGGGGTCAACGCCCCCGCGGCCCGGTCTGTGACCAGGCTCCTTAGGTCAGTGTCCCAGGATGCGACCCACACCAGTCGACTAACACCCAGGTACCCATTTTACTGATGGGGAACATAGACAACAGGTGGAAAGAAACACGTCCAATGTTTCTACTCTGGCTGGGAATCGAACCCAGGCCCTCACCGTGTGAAGCGAGAGCGTTAACCACCAGAGCTATACAATCTTTTAAAGATTGAGCAAACATAATCCAAGACAGTAGACAGGAACATACATGGGCACTCGCGTGAAGAGGCAACAAGGGACATTTGCTCTATCTCAAGCTGTATGACCCTTATGGGTTTAGGACTTGGTTATGATTATAATAATAATAATTCTCTATCTCATTTCACAGCAATAATTTGTTTTTATTAATTTTGAAAATTTGTCTTTGTTATAGCAAATGTAAATTTTCTTTTACTTTGATGACTTACTGTGTAAAAGCTGGTCCTCTACATTATTATTCCAGTAGATAATCCCTGAACATAAGTTATGTGGAAAATTGCATTTATCTGAATGTAACTAATTATGTACATAACAGTAAATGATAACAAAGATAATTATTATTTATCAGAGTTACATAGACAAGTAGGAATTTGGGACACCTAGGTCGCAAAAAATGTCCCCCTTCGATACCTACCACTACCATAACCACAAGTTGCTCTGGACCTATTAATTAAATGAAATATACATACACCAGGAATACTGGTAAATATATAAATTTGTGGACTGTATATTAAAAATAATAAATGGTTATATATATACATAATTACATAACAGAAGGAAAATATATCTTAATATCACTCACCAATTTGACTGGATATTAAGTTGTATCATACTCAGAAAAACCTCACTAACTAAATTTATGAAAACACTGGTCAGAATTATACACAAATCTAGAGAGCTTATCTGAGGTTCCTGGAGCTGTCTTGTCCAGTCGTCTGATATCTCAAGTTATGCAGGAATGCATGTCCAACAATTTCGCCTCCTATTTGAGAGGTGTCAGCCCAATTTTAACCTCTAGAGCACGAAAATTCATTCCCATTACACTAAGGTTGTATCCAATTCAAAACAAAGATCTTCTTTTGCAACAAGGGCTGTCCTGTTTCTTTGTTTTGTGTTTATGTGGATGTAGTTGAGAATGATGTTAATGGCATCCTGTGTGGATCTGTGTGTTCTGAAGCCAAACTTGCCATCTGAAAGTAGAGAATTATGTTCCAGGTATCTGCGAAGGCGATGATTAATGAGTTTTTCAAAGAGTTTTCCTAAAGTTTCGAGGAGGCTGATAGGGCGATAGTTTCTAGGGTCAGAGTGGTCTTTATTGGGTTTAGGAAGGAGGATAGCAGTAGCAGCTTTGAAGAGGGAAGGGAAGTATCCAGAGGCAAGGGAGGCATTGAGGAGGTTTGTGTAGGCAGTAATGATAGAGTCAGGAAGGTGTTTCAGGATAATATGGTTTAGGCCAGAGGCACCAGGAGCCTTTGGAGGAAGGTGTCTGAGGAGAGTTTAATGTCTGTGTTGGTAAAAGGAGTGTCGAGTTCTTGGGAGGAGGTAAGAGTGTCTAGATGTATGTGGCTGTCTGGTGTTGTTTCTTGTGTGTGTGCAGTGTTCCAGTGTTCTATGTTCTGAATGTGTTGAATAACGTTAGGGCGAGGTGGGTGAGGGTGGAAGATGTTCTCCCAGATGTGTTTGAAGATGTTGGTAGCAGCCTGTGGGTCTGAGATGTGTGTTGTTGTGGGTGATGTGTTTGAATTTGTTGGTGGGAGTAGTGCCTCTGATTTTTTTGATAAAGTTCCAGAAGGCTTTAGTGTTTTTAACACGCTGCCTGTCCGCTTGTTGTATTAGTCGTGACCAGTGATTGTTGTGGTCTTGGTCTAGGCTGTGTAAAATGTTGTTTCTAAGGTAAGTGAGATCTAATCGGACTTGATTAAATCTATGTGTGTTGTAGAGGAAGCGGTTGTGGTAGCAGATAATTAGTCTTCTTGTTCTGAGTGACGGTTTGAAGGAATAACGAGTGGTGTGAGTTTTCTTTGGTATTGCGATGTTGGCTGCTTGTGTAATGGTGTCCTGGATGAGATCAAGATGAGTATCGATGTCAGAGATAGGTTTGTTGTTATAGTCATAGGTGAGGTTAATATTGTCTATGTGTTGTTTGAAAGCATCCCAGTCAGCGTTCTTGTAGGAGAATGAAGGTGTGGTTGGAATGAGGATAGTTGAAGTGATAGGATGGAGCCTTATATAGCGCCAGGAGGTGAGACGTAGGTCACTAGTAGAGTAAGAATGTAGACATTGAGAGGTCAGGTCCCTCTCAAATCCAGCCTTTCTCACTAGTAGAGGTTGTTAGGTAAGACACATATGCAACAGTTAGACAACTTTATTCCGAAACATTTCGCCTACACAGTAGGCTTCTTCAGTCGAATACAGAAAGTAGGCAGGAACAGTAGAGATGTGAAGACGATGTAATCAGTCCATCACCCTTGTAGTCGTAGAATTTGAGGTTGTCAGTCCCTCGGCCTGGAGAAGTTCAGTTCCATAGTCAGGAACTATCTGAAGATCAAGCGACAGTGCGGAGACTTAAATACTGTCGGAAGGAGAGGTGCAGAGTAGTAGTAGTAGTAGTAGTAGTGAGAATGTAGCCACTGAGAGGTCATGTCCCTCTCAGATCCAACACTTCTCACTTGAAAAGCTTGTCCAAGGTGTTTTCTGTACCAAGATGCCATGTGTTGCAGTGTCTGACAAGATGAACATCAAAATGGTATACAATACCGACAGGTTGTTAGGTAAGACACATATGCAACAGTTAGACAACTTTATTCCGAAACGTTTCGCCTACACAGTAGGCTTCTTCAGTCGAATACAGAAAGTAGGCAGGAACAGTAGAGATGTGAAGACGATGTAATCAGTCCATCACCCTTGTAGTCGTAGAATTTGAGGTTGTCAGTCCCTCGGCCTGGAGAAGTTCAGTTCCATAGTCAGGAACTATCTGAAGATCAAGCGACAGTGCGGAGACTTAAATACTGTCGGAAGGAGAGGTGCAGAGTAGTAGTAGTAGTAGTAGTGAGAATGTAGCCACTGAGAGGTCATTCTCACTACTACTATTACTACTGTGTGTGTGTGTGTGTGTGGTTGTGTGTGTGTGTGTGTGTGTGTGTGTGTGTGTGTGTGTGTGTGTGTGTGTATGTGTGTGTGTGTGTGTGTGGTGTGTGTGTGTGTGTGTGTGTGTGTGTGGTTGTGTGTGTGTGTGTGTGTGTGTGTGTGTGTGTGTGTGTGTGTGTGTGTGTGTGTGTGTGTGTGTGTGTGTGTGCGTGTGTGTGTGCGTGTGTGTGTGAATAATAGTTACATTACTAATTCATAATTATTTCTTGTTTTTCTCTCCCTTTATGATGGCGATAATTTTTTTTATGGAATTAAGGGGGTAAATAGAGAAATACATCAAGCCGAGAGAGGGTTAATGATGGAGGAAAAGTTGAGAATCTCCGCTTTAAAGGGAGGCTCCTGGAAGCCAGTGAGGGGCTCTTGATCCGAGGAATTGGACCCGATCTCCTCGTCTTTGCCAGAAATGCTCATGCATGATAGTGGCTTCCTTTATGACTAACAGTATTTTACTACATGTAAACTACATTGTATACTATGCAAAGAAATAATTTTTTAAATTTGAACTGAAAAAACTAGAATACCTCCCATTCCTCAGGGTTTAGCTCTCCTTTCTTGAAAAAAAATAATAATAATCCTTAATAAAATTAATAATAATAATAATAATAATAATAATAATAATAATTAGTAATGGTTTCCATGATAGGCCAACAACACTACCTGGTGCTAATTTGGCTTGTTATCTACGAGGTAAATATCTGCACTAGCACTGCGATGTGCACCTTATACTGCAATCAACACGGTACCTAACCTAACCTAGGTTAGGTTAGGTACCGTGTTGATTGCAATATAAGGTGTAGATCTCATAACAAAGTATCCTTGTGGCTTAGCGCTTCTTTTTGATTATAATAATAATAATCATAACAAAGTAGATTCATGATACGTAGATCGCAGTGTAAGTGTAGATATCATCCCAAAGTAGATTCATAACACGTAGAAACAAGCCAAAGTAGCACCAACTACCTAATTAAAACCATATTAGACAATAACTCGCTATAGACAAAAAAAAAAAAAAAGCCTTATTTCGTTTGACTGATCTTATGAGAACTTTTAGGTTTAGATTTACTTTAATTCCAATCATTACATTTTGCAAAATATGCAATAATCAGAAAGTAGATAGGATGCTCAGCCTTCATGTGTGCAAAAGGGGTCATCTCACAGTCACTAACAACAAGACATGGCCCCCCTCCCCACTCCACAAAGGTGGCAATAAACCAATTGCAAAGAATTACAGACAGATAGCGATAACTTCCAGTATCGTAAAATTCTTTGAATGTGTTCTAAGAAGCAAGATCACCACCCATTTGGATACCCATCAACTGCACAACTCAGGGCACCATGGGTTTAGAGCAGGTTGCTCCTGCCTGTCACAACTACTGGATCACTGTGACATGGTCTTGAATGCTCTGGAGGAAAAACAAAATGCAGATGTAGTATACACAGACTTTGCAAAACCCTTCGACAAGTGCGACCATGCTGTAATAACACACAAAATGCGTGAGAAAGGAATAACAGGGAAAGAAAACAAAGAGTAAAGTCAGAGGCGGTTACAGTTTACCTAGAGTTTACCTGGAGAGAGTTCCGGGGGTCAACGCCCCCGCGGCCCGGTCTGTGACCAGGCCTCCTGGTGGATCAGAGCCTGATCAACCAGGCTGTTACTGCTGGCTGCACGCAAACCAACGTACGAGCC